ACGATTTGTTAACTAGAACATAATTAAGTTTTTAGGCAATACAAAGTAAATAGACAAATACACAGATAGATCCCAATGGCAACCTCATTCTTAGAAGACGGATACACTGAAGCCATAAGAAATTTGTCCGTCGTAATACCACAAAGTCTTTTATGGTGTTAAGTTAGGTTAAGTTGAAGAGATTTTTGTTGGTACAAATGACAACACTTTTACTCAGAGACATCTTTCGTCCATTATTATCACCTTAAACCATTGTTTTCATTATAGCTTGTATTATACTTGCTCAATTGATTTTTCATCTGAAGTCAAAAAGATCCAAAAAGTCTTCTTTCATTATCTGTACCAATCCAGGGACGATCCTTTTTTATAGACATTGTAGCTTCTTCATCTACAATTGTAGTTTTAATAAAACACAATAGAGCTTTTGATCTTATCACATCTTATCTAGGCCACAGATTCCTTACAAGCTCAGAAATGTTATTGCGGAACTAATTCATGAGTCATTCGTCAAGTAAAGAATTAATATACAATCCTAAACAATCACACACTAGGGTTTAGATTGCATATGTTTAGGAATTCAGTAAAGAAAAACTTTGTGGTGATCAATGTTTATTAGCAAAATGCGATATTACTCGAGGACATACCTCTTTAAGTTATCCACACATATAGATGATTACTGTCACAGATCCCAACTCCTAACTCAAATAATCTATATATATTAATTAATCAATGATTTATACACCAAAAATGTAATTTTGAACAAAATAATATTAGTGAAAAATACATCTGTTGATATTAACAAATATTTCAAGCTATGATTAATATTTATATAATTTTATTTTGTAAATATGCCATATATATTATATTGTCATTTTTCGGATGTTATATTTTATATATAGGGTAATAAAATTAATATTGATATTTTATAAACCATGTTCATAATATATAATTCTATGTTGACATTATCACATTAAACAAATTTTCGCAATTATGTCAATAAATGTATACCAATTAGTCACATTTTCATTACAAAACAATTTTTAATTTAAGAATGCTACCTCAAACACTCTAATATGACAAATTATATTAATTACAAATTGTTTTAATTCATTACCCCTTTTTTATTTTAACTTACAAGTTGTCTTTCATGTTTTAAATTTGTTGTTCGCTTAATCGCTAAATAACTCACATTCGATAAATCTCAAGTGTGAACACTATATAACTGCATTTAGATTACATAGTTTAAAATAAATTAATTTTTATATCAATTTTGGTGAAAGAAACTTAATTCTTAATATAAACTATTGTTTACAATAGATAGGTATTTGAAAAATAATAAATTACAATAATAAAATTTTATTATGTATGAATTAGTTGAACTTTTGGCTGAACGTACAGCTGTTTCGAGTATTGTTAAAAACCGTCATCAGTGGTCTTGTAATTATTACTTATATATAATTAATTGTTAATAATTTTTTAAGACTACGTAGACCAAGAGTCTACTCGTACCCTACCAAATTAGAAGCTCAGAGTCACCGCATTAGCCAACTGATCCAAAGCCATAGTTGACTTGTATATTCGAACTTGGAGTTTTGTTCATTTGCTTTGCTCAGATATTATAATAAAATCTTAATTTAAAAAAAACAAGAGTAGCTCTGCACTGGGAGAATCACCTAAATTGTAAATTATCATGACTTAAATAGTATTTAACAAAAAATTGTAAAATGTCACAGTTTTATGGGACAGAATATATATTGAATTTGAATTAAATACAAAAAAAAAATTGTTTTGTTAATAATCGTTAATGTGATTAACAAATTGACTTGCTGTATTATATTATATTAAAACAAAATCATGAACTAAATGTAGAACAAGTAAATTAATTAATTATATTTTTAATTCCAAACTTCAATTCTATTATTTTGTAAAGGCATAATTTATAATAGCAAAAAAGATTTCGCGATTTATAGCTCCCATTATATTTAACACAACACAATATCCAAATAATGCATATACTAAGCACATTACGCACAAGTTTTAATGTATAAATGAAAAGACGGCAACTCTTATTACTGTTCCAATTTCATTTTGTTCCATTTATACTCTCTTTTGCACCAGCTGTTTTGTTTTTGCGAAACCAAAACAAATGGTGCAAACGCACATGTGTTTATAAAATTGTAAATATAAAATTAATTGTTAATATTTAAAACTAATAAAATAAAAATGTTAAATACACTTGAACCTTTCAATAAATATTTCGTCTGCAACTTCAACAAATCTACAGATACTGAAAGTAAGAAAGTTAAACTATAGCTCATGACATTTATTAATATTTTGCATTTAGCGATAGAAAATGAGTTGCTGCGGCTGCTGTGGACATGCAATTTCACCACAGAAAATTTGGAAAAATTATTGAGCACTCATTTGAGTAACCAGAAAGACAAATTAAATGATGAAGAAGCTAGAACTGCCTTATGCCAAGCGATTGAACTAACATTAATTTTTGTGCAGTACAATTTTACCGGTCCTTCAAAATCAGTGGATGAATTTACTGAATTAATAGCTAACAAAAAACTAGAGGAATATGATCCTTTTGTAAATTTGATAGAAAATGGAGAGGAGATTAACTCCAACGTTGCATTGGGTGAATTATTTGTAATTGCAAAGAACATTTTAAAACAACTATTAGCACAATATCCCGAATCATTGGTAAGTACACCGGAAAAGAAAAATTTTATATTATTTAAACAATCAGTTTATGTTTCTAAAAGGTGGTGCAGTGGTGGAACCTGCGTGCGATTTGTTTACATCAACAATTAATTGATGAGCTCACCAGCAATTTATATAACAATTACAAAAAAGCGGCAGAATTTCTAATAAAACACGTTGATGCATTGGCGGATACCGAGCTTGAAGCTTTGCTGTATCTAGAAGTGGCAAATGGTTATTTGCTATTCCATCGCTCACAAAAATCGGATGAACTGCTGGAGGAATTATGCAAACGCTTGAATGTTGTACTAAATGTTGAAGGTAAGTAAATTGAAGGTATTTGTGATATATTGATTAAAAATTTCGTTTTTTATAAAGGTTTACTTGGTGTACGCACAAAATTCCAGCAAAAGCCGTTACCTCAACTTTGTCTCAAAGTAGAGCACGTCAATGATGAGTACTTACGCACTGCGAAAGAAACAAATGGTAATACCAGTTTACCAAAACTATTGCTATTGGAAGATGACACGCGTTTGGAACGCATACGTTTCATAGAGCCAAAAGATAATGATATCATGACACTACCAAGTGTTTTACAAGCCTTAGTATTAGCAAAAGTGTTAGTAGTCAAATTCCTTACGTATTGATTTATAATTAATTTTTTATTTTTTCTTTGCAGCAAACAACTTAAGCGTTCTCAACCAAAAGATCGACTGGCGGACGAAGAGTTAGAACCTTATATACAAACATTACTCTACCAAGAATGTGGGCCATTGCAAGTGCGTCTAGCAGTTTTATTGCTAAATTGCGTGCAGGAATCGTCACAACGACGCACAGTCGAACGTAGCTGGAAACAATGTGAAGAAGCTGTTAAACTGTTGAATGAGAGCACATACTCCACACAAGATCGTCTTTCATATGCTTTTGCTGGTTTCCTGCAACCCACGTGGCAAGTTAAAATGCAACTTTGTGAGTTGTTACTCTCACTTGGCATGACTAAAACCGCTTTGGACATATATTTGAAAATAAAAGCCTGGGAACAAGTAATTAACTGTTACACACGCTTGGAGTTGCGGAATAATGCAGCGGAAATTATACGCCAAGAATTACAGAAAAAACCGACAGCCTTACTGCATTGTCTACTTGGCGATGCTACCGATGATCCCATACATTACGAAACTGCTTGGCAGTTTTCCAAAGAAACTAGCGGCAAAGCTCAAGCACATTGGGGCAACTATTTCTTCGGCAGAAAAGAATACGAAAAAGCTATAGAACACCTTGAGAAGTCTGTACAAATAAATTCATTGCAAGAAAAAATTTGGTTACGTTTAGGATATGCAGCTATAATGATAGAACGGTGGGAATTGGCAGTACATGCGTACATAACCTATACACATTTGGAACCGCTCGGTTTTGAATCTTGGAACAATTTAGCCAAAGCGCTTATTAAGTTGGGTGATAAGATGCGTGCACATAAAGTGTTAAGTGAATCCTTAAAATGTAACTACCACAACTGGAAGGTATACAACAATTCCGCTTATTGTTTTCATATAAAATTAAAATTTTATTACTTACTTTATCTACAGGTTTGGGAAAATTTTATGTTGGTTTCGGTGGACACAGGGCATTTCGAAGATGCAATAAATGCCTACAACCGCTTAAGTGATTTAAAGCAACATTTCCTAGACTTAGAAGTGCTTTGTGTTACCATGACAGCCATAGCACAAGGCAAACCTGATGCAAAAGGGCAAACAGCAGAGCGTTTACATAAAAAAGCGGTGTCACTTATGGCCCAGCAGTGTATCAAACATGGTAATGAGTCAAAAGTCTGGGAACTTGCCGCATTACTCGCCAAAACGCCACTTGATAAAGCGCAGAAATTAATCAAATCTTACCGTTCTTACACCAGTAAAGAACTTGCCTGGGCGAGTAAACAACCATTTTCGTTAAAGGCACTACAATTAACGCGGGAAATTTGTACATTATCACTGCAAGCAATTACAGAACATTCCACAGAAGAAACGCCCGGCATGATAACATCACAATTAAGCTCAGCTCGTCTATCTGCACAAGCCTGCATACGTGCCGTAGAGAAAGAAACCGAAAACTGGCCAGAGAACCAAGAATTGCTGCAAGAAGTCAAGGAATTATTTGAACGAACAACAGAGCAAGTAAAACAGCGCATGGAAAATAAATAATTTATTTATTAAATATAAAAAAAGCATTAAAGCTATATTTGACTTTTTTGTTATAAACAATATTTGTATTAAATAAAAATATATTTAAAAATAATAATTTAATTTCGTTAATAATACATTTACGTTCTGATCAAAAACGCCAGAAACTTGTAAATTCAATTTGTTTGGATTTTTGTATTTTTTGTTGTCGTAAAAAAATCGAATTAAATAATAAATAATTAGTTATAACAATTTAATTTTGTTGTTACTAATACACGTACGCTCTGATCGAAAGCGCCAAAAACCCCTAAACCCAGTTTGTCTGGATGCCAATCAAAGCAATGTACTGGTTGTGAGGATACTGTACTAGCATTTAACATCTCCAGTGTGCCGGGAACACCCTCCATTAAACCATTGCCATCATCCTTTTGTCGCTTGCCTGGGTATTCATACTTCCATAGACGCAAGGAACCAGTGCCACCGGACGTAACAAATATATCGCGATTTTGCGGCAAATGGCGTATAGTCCAAAGTGTTGATTTAGGGCCACTTATAACACCATGTGAACCAACGGAACGTCCCGCATTACGCTCTTCAACACTAGCAAATCCCTTACTTGCATGTTGGGTGCGCATATCGAATACATGCAGCCCACCTTCTAATGTCGTAACGCCCATTTTATTCATTTTAATATCACGTCTATCGAACTCGATACCACAGACGCCATTTTTCAAAGTAGTTTCCCAACGCACAGCCAATTGGCGTAAATCAAATAATTTTAGATCCCCATTATCATAGCCTGCCGCTACTACGCGCTCCTGATTATCAAAGCTATTACCGAAAGCAACAGCCCAGCAATCACGTCTGTCGCCTTCAGCACCCTCTGGTGTCATATCTACTACGGGTGCTTGACCTTGACGTATGTCCCATACTTTAACGCTACCGTCACGACTGCCTGTCACAATTTCTGGTGGACCACAATCAATTTGCTTTCCTCCAATACCATCAATACTATTGATGATGCTTTTATGCGCCACCACGTTGTACACAGGTAAATCAGTGCGGTCCAAATCACTGCACGAAAAGTAGTTTATTATCGAAACTTCATACCTAAATCTTTAA